TCACAGAGAGGCAACTCTCCTCCCCCAGCAGCCTCTCTGATCTTTTTTTGGGCGGACTCTTCACGCCTGTGTAATTCTAATTTATGTCAACTAGAAATCAAAGAAATTCCAAGAGGCTTTGGTCAGAGGACATGGGGGCGGACCTTTCAGAATCTATTTACGTCTACTCCTCGAGTCGGGTGGCCCCCACGGCACTCCTGGCGCCCCATGGGCCGAGGCGAGGCGGCTTCCACGCAGAAGGGCTGCTACCTGCTCTGGGCAGAGGCACACAGTGGGGTGAACGGGGGCTCCCCGCCCCCCCAGCGACGACTCCAGAGACACGTGACAGCCGACAAGCCTTTTCAGCCAAGCGCTTGGCCAAGAGTGGCTCCCTCAATAATGCTCTTTAATGCTACCCCAGACGCTGGCATTTTCAAATCAAATGAACAGTGTATAAAATTAGTTCTGCATGAAGTTACAGAAAAAGAAGAAAAATATAGAAAGTGAAAGGGAGCTTTTAAAAGCTCCAGCGTTTCTTCATCCAACTGCTTTTCACAAGGGTTTGGCATTTGAGAATTGCTACATTTATGATGTTATTCGCTGCTCATAACTCAGGCCCTCTGTCTCCAAACTTCTGCATTAACACACGCTGCAGAGGTTTCCACCGCAACATTTCATCACGGAGGTTTCCCAAACCAGCCGGCTGCCTCTGGCGAGGTCTGGTTTCTCGGCCAGCACCACGCCACTGGGGTCCCTTGCTTTTCATCTACCTTGTTACCCCAAACATTTTTCATTAACCTTGAACACTGCATTTCCATTTGCCCTACAGCTTTCCCAGGAACTTTTTTTTTTTTTTTGGTCCTTCTTAGTTTTGTTCTCCATCCAAACTGCCATGTAAGAAGTGAGGAAAATACCATATAATTAGAAGAAACAGATCTGAATAGAACCTAGAATTCACTGAAGTTGTGAAAACGACTTCCATGACCAAAGCCACTGACTGTCTATAATTGCAGAAAGCAGAAAAAAACATATTGCTTTTATTAGAGAGTCCCGTTGGTTATACAAGTAGTTTTAACTAAATCACCAAATAAATGCGTGTTAAGTTGATAGGTGATTTCGGGTCAACTCTAATTCGCAAGGTCAAGTAAGCCTTTGAACAGTCCTTAAGAATATAAGTTCACCCCAATTCATCAAAGCCGTCTCACACAGGGTTCTCTTCTCTGCACTCTCACAATGCACTGAAGTTTAGGGGATTAAGTGGCGTCGGCTTCAGACCCAAAGTAATGCCTCTAACGTGCTTATCCATCCAGCAATCGGACAAGCTACTCACACAGGGGCTTCTTAATGCGCTTCCTCATTTTACAAGCGTGAGGGGGACGCTGCATTTGTCTAACGACTGGAGGACTCCTTCCTAGGAGTCACCCATTGCTGCCAGACAAATTTACTGTTGTTTAGTTCAGACGCTGTCTGATAATCTAAGTACATGCTGCTTTCATCTGCAAAGAATACATTTTCTCATCTGTTCTTTATCTAATGAAAGAGTGAGGAAGAAAAACACTTTCCCCCTACAACAGATAACAATGCATTTTCTTATTTAATTCTTCAAAAGCTCGAGTGAGGGGCATAAAAAAGCAGACATTTTAAAGTATGGCTTCCGAATCAAATATAAGGGGCCCCAAGTGAGAGAAAATAGAACCAGGTTTCAGCATTTCAGAGAAGCCCAGGACCGCAGAGCACCAGCCCTGGGACGCACAGATGTGATGAAGCCCATCCGTCTGAAGTTCAGAAAGCCCACCGACCACAGGCCTGCAGGGGGCTGGCTGTGGAGACCGGGGAGGTCTCTCTGCTCCCGCCTTAGGCTCCAGCTGGTGTGCAGAGAGGGGACAGAGAACGTAACTGAAGAAGCTTCCAGGGAAGAGCAGCTTAGATTAAGGTACATGGAGAAGAGTGATAGGCTAGGCCCAAATTAACTTTCTTCTTCATGACTTTGCTGGTACAGATGACCACAGGAAGATGGACGGTGGCTCTTTGCACCCTAAACAGAATTTCACTGTTTCCGGTTTCAGTTCTAATATCCTCTCCTTCATCGTTTTTCTTCTTTCCTTCTTTTTGCTTTCCTGCCTCCTTGAATTGTTTCATCTTTAACTCACCTTTGTCCCCCACTGCAAATCTTTCTTCAGCCTTATGCCTGGATCACTAAGTTGATTCCAAATACGCTGTCCCTCAAAGGCATCAGTTTCCCTTCGTAGAGTGTGTTTAACATGAGATTATTGATCTATTTTTGTATAAATAATAATCTTAAATTTAAGTGAGGGAAAAGTGAAATGTCAACATCTTTCAGTTCATGTCTTTCCTCTTTCTAAAGATTTCCTTTCAAAAATGGGGTAGCAGGCAATGCAATTTTTTTCTCATTTGTAAATTGAAAAATCAAGACCCAGGTTAATATAATATTGTTGATGAGAATAATTATTAACATTAAGCATTTTATATATAACAAGCATTCCTCTAAGGGCTTGATATATGTCCACTCATGTAAATACTCACAGCATTTCTACAAGACGGGTACAGTTATCATCCTCGTTTTACACGCGAGGAGACAGAAGCACTCAGAGGTTAACCTGTCTGAGCTGACACAGCTAAGGGTGGAGCCCGGGTCTGCACCTGAACTCTGGCTCCAGAGTTCACATCTTCCACTGCTACCTTCGGTTCCTTGCTACTCACATACTCCTTTGACTCCTGATAGAAATTTAGGATCTGAAGGCGGACAGCGTAATGCAGATGCGGAGGACAGAACACTCACACTGGACTTCCCTCCAACTGAACCAACCAGCAGGCTTTTAAGTGCGAGGCTCTACATGCACTTTGTGTGTGGTTTGCAAACTTCCGTCCTCGCAGGACCTCCCGTGTTGGGCCCTGAACTGCCTTAAGCCCGAGGACGCCAGCGGGCAGCTGGGCTGGCTGCAGCAGGCTGGGTTGGGTGGTGTGAGAGCTCTAATTTGGACAAATCTGCATTTAGGCAGAAAAGGGTCCTTCCACTTACTGAAAATTGGCAAAATGCTGGTCAGCAAATACGTCTGAAAGGATCTTCTGAACTAACTGGAGTACAAATCCAGCTCCGAAGGGGAAGTCTAAAGAGGCTGGACGAGAAACACGGGGACTTCCACCAACAGCTGTGGGCACGTGGGTCCAGCTTTAAATGCCTACCTTTTCCTGTCCTCGCTTAGGTAGTTCGAGTGCAGCAATTCCTTCGGGCAGAAGCCGGAGAGTTCTGATGTCACTGTTCAGGGTTTCTAGAACACTCTGCCTGCTCTGGACTCTTTGACTTGTTTTAAAAGGAGTCATTTTGAAGTGACAGGGTTAGCAGCAGTGTGAAGTTAGTTAGTAGTGAAGTTTAAGAGGGACTTGCCACCCCGGGTCTCCACTGTTGCTCAGCAAAAGTCGGTCAGCTTTCTAGGCTGGGCTGAGTATATACACTAAAATCTCTTTAACCGTAACTCACTGGAAAGGTCTGGTATAAGTTGGGATTGTAAAACATCTGGAAAAAAGAACTAGGTCAATTAACGAAACTGACAAAGCGCAGAGAGAATTTGGGCCATTCTTCTTATCTGTCCCCAAATTTGGTACATTTAGAAAATACACGGCCTTCGAGAGGCACATGTATTTAGCCCCAGGCTCTTCTGCTAGATTGTCCCTAATCGCCGAGCACAAAAGGCAGCACAGGAGTGTAAGTTGTTACAAGCTGCCCACAGTTTCAGAGCCAGTGTCTGAGGTGGCTCTTTTTCAAGGAAGCACCCCCTTCTCTGGAGACAGCCCCCGGGGTGGGCCCCGGGTGCTGGACACAGGCTTGAAGATCTGGGGTGCCCCTTGGATGAGGGGCCTGGGGCCAGCGCCTGGTCCTTCTGAGCTCCGTCTTCTCCCCTTCGCAGTACAAACGACTGTCTCCTGGATTTGTTACCGGGGAAAACGTAAAAGAGACAAAGGGGAAAGTGCCTCTCCAATGCCTGGTTATCAGTACAGCTTTCGATCATCTTTATTAAATGCAGCCCAACTTCTCAAACCCAGCTCACGCCTGTGGCCAGCCCCACCGAACCTCGGGAGGGCCTCTGGGAGCGCTTCTCAACATGTGTGAAAAGCGTGTCTGAAGGGTGGAGATTCCCACCTAACATTGCCTCACTGGCCCTTTCCTGCCCCCAGAGGGCCAGAATACAAAGACGCTGAGCAGCGGAATCACATGCTGCAGACCGAGACAGAATCATCTGGCACTGGGCTCTCCCGCTCACTGCCGTAGGACACTTGGAGCCCCGACTGGGATTTCACGGTGAGGCCGGGCACGCTGCAGCATGCCACGCAAACACGCTTCACCGCGGCCCGCGGACTCACGGGCAGGAAGCCACAAGCTAGGCTGTGTGTGTGTGCGACTGCTGTTTTCTTTCGGCATAAGCACAAACATTCATTTTTAAACAGAGAAATTTAAAAAATCATCTCAGATTAATTTATAAAACCAGGCAGCTTACCATGCATACCTGTAATAACATAAGTACGTGCGTGTAAAGAGTAATATGCCCGGGGAAAGAAGAAGAAGGTAACATCGAGCTGTAAATGACACTGATACGTAGGAAAGAAGTTCGACAGGCAACTCACTTTGTCACATCTCATCAGCCCCAAGTATCTTAAAGACTTGCTGCTCTGTGCGATCAGGGTGGCGCCTTGGTCGGTAATCTCTTGAGGCCGGGCACGCTGCAGCGTGCCACGCAAACATGCTTCACCGCGGCCCGCGGACTCACGGGCAGGAAGCCACAAGCTAGGCTGTGTGTGTGTGCGACTGCTGTTTTCTTTCTGCACAAGCACAAACATTCATTTTTAAACAGAGAAATTTAAAAAATCATCTCAGATTAATTTAGAAAACCAGGCAGCTTACCATGCATACCTGTAATAACATAAGTACGTGCGTGTAAAGAGTAATATGCCCGGGGAAAGAAGAAGAAGGTAACATCCAGCTGTAAATGACACTGATACGTAGGAAAGAAGTTTGACAGGCAACTCACTTTGTCACATCTCATCAGCCCCAAGTATCTTAAAGACTTGCTGCTCTGTGCGATCAGGGTGGCGCCTTGGTCGGTAATCTCCTTGCACCATCCAACGTCCACGGTCTCTATGGTCATGCTGTATCGCCCAATGGCTATCAGAGCTGCAGGGGAGACAGGGAGACAGGAGCACAGACGTCAGTGCAAGGGGCTCTATCTTACTACGACGGCGTCTCTCATTTCCTCACTGCATTTGTTCCTGAAATGTTGTGTATAAACGAATGCTTCGTAAATGAAATCCAATTTAAAATGCTTTAGGAAAGCGTGCCCTATGACAGAGCCTTTCACAAAGTGAATAATCATTCCATAATTTCCCTTTTATTGGAACACAACCTTTTATCAGTTTTATTCATTACAAGGTTACCTGTACTTCCAAACATTCGTATCTGTAGAGGGCATAAACTCAAATGAATTACACATATAACATTACAGGAAACCCCCAAGGAGTAATTAAATTTTACCCAAGATAAATTTGGTAATTTTTAAAAAGAAAAACCTTCAGAAACACCATTTTGAGGTGTTTTACTCTGCATGTGAATTTCTTTAGCAATTGGCACAGTTTTTCCCATCTGTTCATGAATGGTAAAATGTAAGAGTGTAGAATATTTTTCACATTAGTCCTTCTTGAGACAGCGAGGAATTGAGAGGACAGTATACACACAGTTGAATTCAGTTGCTGCTAGCATTTGTTATGGTGAATGTCCTCACTGTATCAGAAGTCTTCCTCCTATTGACACAGGAAATGAAGCCTGTCACACGAACTCTATCCTTGCCCCTAGTCTTCTTGACTGTTCAGCCGTGTACCTCTACTGAGGCACAGAGATTTATCCCATAGTCTGTGATGTACACCACACATCACTGCAGGCTCCATAACCCATCACCCTATCAGAGCATCCAGTCGCCAGTGTGGCTCTTGGCTACAGACTTCTAGTGAAACAGACATACACGCCTCTACCTTTGTGCACCGAGAAACAGATTTCAACACCTCCAGCCAGAAAACGTTTATGGTGCATCGGTTTGTAAAGGAAAACTCTGAAAACAATGCCACAAATATTAAAAAGGAATAATAATTGTTTGCTAATTATTTCCTCATTCTAAGATAGGATGAGTTGATTCCTGTTACATTAAAAGCAGATGATATTTTCCAATTATTAGAATGATTAAGAGCAGAGTGAAGTACTCATGTAAATAAATGTTAACTCTTAAAGCTTGCAGGGAAAAAACACATGGCAAAAATCTCTTTGCTAATTAATCTCAGTAATCTTTTAAACTAGAAAACTCATGCCTATGTATTCAAGTATCAAAGCATTCCTAATGAGCCAGATATTTAAAGTTTATAAAAACAATAATCACGATCTCAGTGTTTTCCAGTGAAAATGCTATTAATTTAACGGAAGAAAAAAAAATTTCCAGAAGTTCGTCAGGATATCAATGTGCTGATGCTCTCAACTGTGTACATGCTGTTTTTGGCATTTAGTTTTCCAAGGAGGTAGGACAGGGCAGGAGTGATCTGCCCAAAGTTTGCTGTGTGGTCTGAGTGATATTTTCATGTCGCAGAAGCAGTGTCTCAGGTAAAGCCAGTGTTCCTGACCTAAGAAAACTGTTGCTATCTCTGGCAGTGTCATAAAATTCATCAGTTAAGATATCCTCAGGCTCTCTTATGATAGAAGAAGTAGAAGGCACACACACAAAAAATCCCTTTCACTACAAAGTGCTAGAATTATGATCTCAGAAGAAGGAGTGCCAGATGCAAGGTAACCCCACAAGGGTGGACTGTGTATTTCTATCGAGGTTTGGGGCTGGAACGTGAAAGCTCCGCACTCCACTCTGCAGACGATGGTCAATCAAATGCTCAGCGGAGTTTCCCGAGGCTACGTGATGAGCACATGGACAGTGACCACCTACTGGTTCTAGGTGCTAAAATCAGTAGTGAATGGGAGTTCCCTTTTTCCCTTCTTTCTTGTCTAAATTTAAACACACCATAAATAAGACAACTGAAGATATAATCAAGGTATTCAGCTTCTCTTCTGCCATAGTTCTGTTTACTGAAGTAAGAATTAAGTTTTCCTCTTCCTTAACTCACTCAATGAGACAGCAGAGACCTCGGGAGCACACTAGAGCCTTTTCTCCGGGCCTTAAGGACGACCAGGTGCTGGGCACCGGGCTACGAGTTTCAGGCGCGTTTTCTCATTTAATCCTGCCAGCAACTCCACAAAGTCTTGGTATTAGACCAGGGAACTGGGTCGCAGAATGCCGGGAGAGCCTTCCCGGCATCACAAGGCAGCAGGCTGGAGACGGTGCTCTGAGCGCCGGCTGGCAGCCTACCCCGGCTGCAGGCGGAGCCGGGAGCTCGGAACCCTGGCCCTCCCCCGGCGATGCCCGCAGGGCCAGCGCGATGTTCCCGCCCCCGGTGATGCCCGCAGGGCCAGCGCAGAGCACCGCGGCGAGGGGGGTGCCACACGGGGTCACAGAGCTCGGAGGGCCGGTCAGGAGGGGTGGGGGGCGGGGACGGGGGACAGCCAGGCCAACAGTCACAACACAGGGCTCACTCCCCATCTCTCCCCACCCCCAAACTTTTCACTTTCCAGATCTTGAGGCAAAGGGCAGCGTCGCAAAACCAATCACTCCATCATTTTTTTGCTAGTACTTATTTGCTTAGTTATGTACTTTTTTTTTGTCGTTCACTTTTCCTATTAGAATGACAGATCTATCCACTGTTGTTGTATCCTCAGCACCTAGTCTGTGCCTGCTACAGAGTCAGTTCTTAAAAATATTCGCTGAACATACCAATGACTGCAACGTGGCCAGCTCTATTAGAGAGACATGCCAAGGGACGGGGCAGGCCCTGTCTTCAGGGGCTGAGACGGGTCATGGGAGCTCTCATGGAAGAGCTGAGCTAGGTCTTGAGGGATCTTGAGAAAGGATTCTCCAGAAAAACACAGGCATGAGGGCTGGCATGTCAGGCTAAGGAAACAGCGCACGGAAGGCTAGAGAGGCGTGAAGGGACGGGGAGCTGCAGGTCATCCTACGTGGCTGAAATAAACACAGGGCCAAGGAAGTGGCAGACGGAGTCAAGAAATGTTCACTCAGTGATTAGGAGCAATGGGCCTAAGAGATACACAGAGCAGCAAAAATAAGCAGAGTCCTCGATGCCACGAAGCCCATACTCTAGGAGAGAGAGACATGAAGCAAGCACAGAAGTATACACAATTCTAAACTGTAACAAGTGCTTTGAAGGAAATGGAATGATCAGTCAGAATGATGTCTAGATGGCACCAGGCAGTCTTTCTGATGAAGTTACTTTCAATCCCTCCAGTAGCCCAAGAGTAGTCATGTTTGGATGTGAGTTTTGGACCATAAAGCTGAAGAATTGATGGTTTTGAACTGTGGTGTTGGAGAAGACTCTTGAGAGTCCCTTGCACTGCAAGGAGAACCAACCAGTCCATCCTGAAGGAGATCAGTCCTGGGTGTTCATTGGAAGGACTGATGCTGAAGCTGAAGCTGCAACACTCTGACCACCTGATGTGAAGAGCTGACTCACTAGAAAAGACCCTGATGCTGGGAAAGATTGAAGGCGGGAGGAGAAGGGGACGACAAAGGATGAGATGGCTGGATGGCATCACTGACTCAATGGACACGAGTTTGAGCAAATTCTGGGAGATGGTGAAAGACAGGGAAACCTGGCGTGCTGCAGTCCATGGGGTCACAAAGAGGCAGACACGACTGAGCAAATGAAC